TAGAATAAAGTGTTCTTCACATGGATTTTAAGACTGATCAAAATAGCACAAAAAAGAAATGTCATTTAGGACATGTTTATTTTTGAGGATGTACAGGTGTTGTCCAAGTGTGGCATTCGGAGTCTCCATTTGGCATCTCCAAATGGCACACTTGGACAACATCTGCTATACAAAATTCAAATGACTGTAACTCCTCAATGCTTCAATACACAGTCATCAATGAGGACCTTAATGAAAGATAATGGCCAGAGGAATCCTCTGATAGACACATTATTACTGGTAGTGGAAATTGCTTATAATTGGGGCCTGCCCATGCAATGCATGGCAGGAACCTATTGTTCTACACCCAATAAGGCGTTTCTTTATTATTTATAATTCTTACATCACCCTTAAGCGGCCCCAACTGCTGCGTTCACCCCCACAAAAGTGGTATCAAAACGTTCAGCTTGACCTCGAGAAGGGAGCTATTACTTTTAGTGGGATTCAGACTTAAAATGGCTACATAAATTGTGAAAAACGAGCGAAAAATGAGGCTGGGTGTCTCACAGAGACAGGATTCTTTCTCTGACACACACACACACACACACACACACACACACACACACAGCACAGTGGATTTCTGACTCCAAAACTATTTTTAACTCGCCTTCACGGCCACAAATATCGCTCTATTGGTCTCAAAGTCAGTCATGACATTGATACCCATGCCTGCTCCCGTAAAATGTTTTCGAAATTTTTCTAGGGCTTATGGTTTTCTGTCAAACTACTTCAGACCACGCTGAGTCTCACAAAGATAGGAACTCTTTCTCCACCATTCTGTCTCACAGAGACACAACCCAGGTGGAGGTCATTAATTACCTGCAGCTCTGAGCTGCAGGCTATTATGATCTGTCTGTGTCTCTCACTGGTAATGATGGGTTTTTATTGGAATGGAAAATATTTTGTCTTCATGTTTTAGGCACATTCCTCATCATCTGCTCTTTCATTTCGAATATTAAATGAGTTAAGTTTTTGGTTGTTCATTTAAGAGAACAAATACATTTTAAATGCCAGAATTACTTTAACATATTTGACCTCAGGTCAATGCATTGTGGGAAAATAAATATTTCCTGGGACTATTTCTATTTCGCTTAAATAAATTTATTATTTCTCAGAATTTCTGAATATGAATTAAAATCCTGAGTATGAAGGTTGAAAATTTGCTAGACAAAACAATTCTCCACTGTCTAATTTTTTTTCGCACCATGAGTGAGAACCAGACCTCCTCCCCCCTTTTTGCAATACACTGTAGGTCCGTCTGCCTCCCCCCCAAACTCTCAACAGTATACTAGCCCCCCACTCTCCCTTTAAAGAGATAAAAATCACAAAAGAGATCTCTTTGTGTCATGTATCTAATGAAATTCCAAGCCATGTTGCAAAAACAGTCCCCTCTATCAGTGCACCAACAAAGAGCACTAAAGGTTTAAAGGTTACAAAAAATAATGTTTTAATATGCCGAACATGAACTGTTGATTTGGAAAGAATGATAGTTGTAAAGAAAAGGAGAGAAATGTCACCTTTTTCAGTTACAGTTCTAATAGTTTCAGTAGTAACCATAGCAGTCTCTGCGGTCATCATCAGCGTTTCCCTTTTCCCTTCTACAAAACCTAGTAGTAGAAATCAGACTGGGAGACTATTACCATGGCAACAAAGCTCTCACCAATTACCCATAGATGGAGGTGTGATTTGAGACCTAATGACATGTGTAAATGCAAGGCTTCACAGCAGTACAGCTGCACCGCCATTTCCCCCGTCCTTTACATGAGCCTGTGTGTTTTTTTCCACTAAGGTGTAAACATGTCGGCTCACAGCAGCTTGCAGAAATTGTTCAACAGGATTTATTGCAGACATGTTTGATCCCTTGCCTGAAACTCAGAAGCCATGTGTCAAATTCAGAATGAGCTCCAAATGAGCTGCAGCTCATTATAAGGTTTGTTTTAGTTGTATGTAATAAAATCTGTGTTGCAGGCTGAACTTGGTACATTTAGAACACCTCCCACCCTCTTTTGTTGTTAAGAAAACACTGAAAGAGTCCATGTCTTATTCTTGTTTTCTGCTTAGTCTTTTAAGTCTCCAGTTGAGAAGCTGAAGAAAATTGGCTTGACTTGGAAAAATTTTTATTTATTTATTTTTTCATAAAAATCCTGGCTACTGAGCTGGATAACGTTACAGAAAACTCATTTAGAAATTATTTATAGGTTAACATATGTGAAGGTGCATGCTTGTTAATTAAGACATGTTGAATTACTGACTGTTTAACCCTCATATGGTCTTAAGAGATGGGCCATTTAGACTCCACGAGCTTTTTACTCTGTGCGCGGTCCGGCAGGGTTGCATACAGCCCATGTGTGCTTTTACAAGATTTACTTTTTGGGGTTTTGGAGAGACCATCAGACTGTCGCCTTGCCCACACCATGACATTTGCTGTGCTCCTCCTGAGTATCTTACTAAGACTGCTGGAGGGTTAAGAGAATTAACTGCTGTTCTTGAACAATTTGGAGCACATTCAAAAGCTTGGTCTCTTTATGAAGATGACAAGCTAAATTTTCTATTTTTGCAGTCAAAAATACTTTATAAGTAGTTTGTAGCTATTCCATTTGTAACACAAAAGAAATTGAAAAGTAAATCAGATTTACAGAATCATAAATGTAGCACAACAGTCTTGTAGGACAGAATAACCCCTCTGAGACCCAAACAAAAAGGGGAGGAGGTCAAGTCACTGTCCAGACTCAGACTGGCCCACCTTCTTTCAACAATAGGTCATAAACTCTGCATGTTGAGAGCTAACGCAACATGCACAAAGAAAATGCGGACTTAGGCTTTGTACGACTGCAAAGTAGATATAAATTAGGAAATCAAGAAAGGAAGAGAAGTGGGAACAAGAGGGAGAAAATGGAACAGTCTCACTCTGAGCCAATCGTCAGTTTGAATAAAGCAATGTCCAAAGATCAAAAAATTGATGGAACAGAAAAACTCTCTTCAGGCAGCAGACATAAACTGCTGGAGTTTCTTAGCAGAACCTCTGGTACTTTGGGTTGACTAAACCCAGGAAAGTACCTTTCTCGTAGAGGAATGGAGAGGTTGCCACAGCTGGCCTATGCAGGCAGATGCATCAAGAAATTTTGACGTCTCTATGGGAACACAGAAGCGTGAGGTACGCAGACCACTGCCTAGAAGTTCTCCAGTGAACACTTTGAAGGTTTGGAAATAAATTGTCTTCCTGGGCAGCAGGAAAAAGGTTCAGAGCTCTTGTCTCTTGGAGGTTGACTCCAACAAGACTTTGGGATTGAGGTCTTGCTTCTGTAGTGGGATCAGTTCTTATCTGAACAGCAATGAGTTTTATTGCAGAGAGGAGTTTTAACAGTGACGTCTCCAGCACAAGGGATGCTTAGGAATTAAATCTGATCAGTTTGTGAATAAAAATGGATCACAACACACGTCTCGGGCATGTCTTCCCCCTCTCTCCTCCCTATTTCCTGTTCAAGTATTGCACAAGAAAGGCCACTAAGATTTAAAAACTCTTGAAAAGAAAAAAAAAAAAGAAGAGATACCAAGGTCTTACTTGTTTTTTTCTGATAGCAGGATGGTCAGCCAGATATTCTCTACACCTTCTGGACAGATGTAACCCGTACACTCAGTGAGGACTTTCATCGAGCAACTGAAGGTATGACTGGTTTGTTTTTTCAGAACTTTTACATATATTGTTTTGCTGCTGAATTTCCACCTGGGAACTTGAACTCAAATTTAGTCACAACCAACAAGAATAGTGTAATCTGTAAGCTGTAACTGATCTGTAAGCTGTTTCTCTGTGGTCAGCACATAATGTTGATTACAATATTTTATCTTAGTTGGATTATGTAACCATGGCAACATGCTTGTTCAGTTATGTTATAGATAACTTTAGATAACTTTTGGTAGAAGCAATTGTCGTATGCTTTTCATCTATCCTCCTTTCCTGTCTGATGATCCAGAAGTATGCTGATCTGTGTTCTCGTTTTTAATATGTGATTTTGATTTAAGATGTTTATGTGAAGTCAAACCAGACCAGCATGGTTGAGCCGATGTGCCAAAATATCGGCTCAACAGTTGCCTGGTGAAAATCCCAACATTTTGTTCTCAGCCTCATGTCGTTCACTCCTCCTTGTCACAACCCCCTGGCAAACTTTTCACCCCCGTCTGAATTCAAAACTATTGTGTGATTGGTCTGAATTTCAGGGATATGTTTTATTTTCTCCTCCAAATCTCTTCTACCATGATCAATGGGTTTGCTGTACCACAAATGACATCTTACTGCAGTGGGAGGGGATTTTACCGGAGAGTGTGTCTTAAGAGTGTGTTAATTGATATGAAATTAACATCAATTTAAAGCCTTGCTACATGTATACCTCACAACCAAGAGTCAATGTTAATTTGATGGTTTTGGTCACCAATATTAGTGATGAGTGATCATTTTATATTGCAATATATGAATGAAGTTTACATGTTGACTAGAGCATTTCTTGCAGCATTTCCTCCTCCAAAAAGACCCACTTAAATCAGCTGTGGTTGACTTAACTTTATTGGTGACAGATCATTAAACCTAGAGGACACACATGCACAGCAGTCACTCATGCAGTTCTGTGTGAACAGGATAAAAATTAAGCAAATTAGTGTAGTAAATCAAAATGTTTTAACTTTACATTATGTCATAATGTCATTCCCTCATCAAAAACACACCTGGAATGTTGCTTTGATTCCTTCATGAATTCTTAAAAAATCCTTGACATTTCCATAGCAACCGAGCCACTGCCTTTTCACACTGCTCTTTCTTGGAAGTGCAGTTCCCAAGCTGAGCTTCCCCCTCTTCCACAACTCCCCCTCTTAGCTCCTTTAGACTAGCGCCAGCAGCAAATAGCAAACACCTGGTGGAACAGCGTGTCTGCTGATCTTATTTATATACAACCTACCTCTCACTCCATGCTGGTAAAAATGGTAAAGGCTTAATAGAGAGATGTTGTTGTGATGATGTGGCTGAAGGCGCAGTGTCGGAAAGAGCAGAGCCTTCTTGAAGTGTAACTAACTGAAAGTCTGAAAGTCATAAGTTCAACACCAAACCTTCACCAACAGTCAGAGCAGAGCAGACCCATTCCACTCCGTGTTCACATTCCTAATGTTGCCATTGGAGATGGAGTAGCATCACTTGCTACTCCATCTCCATCTTATATGACCAACAAATTCTAGTTTGTTCATGTAATAATATACAGTGTGCAGGACCCGCAAACCTAATGCAGGACCTGGTTTGCCGGCCCTGCACAGTCCAGGGCAGGACCGGCAAACCTGTGGCTATACAGCTGCAACCAATAGGAAAAGTCAACTGCTTAAGAATCATTTGAACAAAGAAAAGGCAGTATTGATACAGTTTAAGGCAAAATAAGACCAAATTAAACAAATTTTACAAAAATGTCAGAATTTGCACAGAAACATAATGTTAGAACCACAAATGACCTATTTTGACAGTTTATCAACAAAAAGTTTGATTTGTGGATTAGTTTCACTTAAGGTGTTAAATTGCAAAGTCAAATTTCTTTTAAGTCATATTTCATATATATCAGATTTTTATAACAATCGTAGGTTGCATAGTTACTTGATTGTGCTATAAAATGGCACTGTGTGACTGGAAAATACATAATACTGCCCCTATGAGTTTTTATTACACACATAATAAAAAACATGACATTGGAACTAAAAGCACAAAAGTCGCAGTTTAAAGTAAAATTTTGTGAATTCATCTGATTTAGAGTATATTTAATTAAACATGAAAACATTGTGCTGAGACAGTCTGCATGTAGCTTACTTCGGAGGAACAATGTAGCTTCTGTGATTGAATAAATGCATCCATGGCTCAGTTATTTTAGCAGCAATGTGGTTTGAACACCGTGTTTGTAAAATTATTGTGTCACTGTTCGTATCTGCTTCCCTAAACATGTGGATTTTAATGTGATGAATTGTTTAAAGAAAGTGCTTGAGTTTACCTTCATAATCTTTCTTTCATTGTATTCATCACTTAAACTGAATGAATTCTCCCATCAGAAAAGTACAATAAGTATCTTTTTTTAAATCACTGAAATATAAAGTGCAGGTAGTGGATGGGTGCTTAATTGGGTGTATGTTTGAATATTTGTAAGACCAGGACTAAGAAGAAGACTTAATTATTCCAACAATAGCATTCATTCTTTATCGCTCACATTCACACTCACTCTCTCCCGGATCACATGGAGGCGTTCAGCACAGAGTTGTCTGATTACAGAGAATACCAAAGTGAGAATAGGAGAGGCGGTTTTGGCTGCTTGCTTTTGTACTTGGCTTCAGTCTAATTTTGTTAAAAACCTGTTGTATCTCACAGGCTGTGTCTGAAAATATTCTTAGGCAGAAATAAGGAAAAAGCGTATTGTATATAATTAACATGGAACTTATGTAGAGACATTTTTGTTGTAACAGTTTGTTTTTCATAATCAAAAGTAGCAAAGGATTACTGACAATCAACATAAAGAAACGTTGAGTGTCTATATACCAAAGAGCCCCATAGTTGCCACAGACTGGTCAGGCACATCAGGTGTGATCAGAGTATAGAAGTTTATGAACTAAATTGTTTTGGTTAAATCAAAGAGAATATCATAGATGAAGATTTATTTCATGACAAAATCTTTGGTTCTTTCTTTTGTGGAACAATTTTCTCTGCTTGTGTATTGCATGCCTACTTACACTCATTTATTGATTAGAACTGTTCAGTTCACTTAAATGAATTTGTGAAAAACTGCTCATCCCCTCAAGCTTTACAAGAAAAATAGGTCAAACTCATTTCCAGTTATAAGTACTGTAAGATATTCTGGTCTAATCTGAATCTGCATGTAATTCCCAAGGTGACAGAAAAACTTGGACTCTGGAAGCACAACATCTGTTATTTTTGCCATCTGTTGTGGTTGGTGCTATACAAATAAACAAAATTAAGTGGAAAGAGTGGTTATATTAGTAAGCCATGCTGTAATTGTGCAAACCACTGCAGCAGTGAATGGAACTAACTGAAAATGTCTCTTTCCGATGCACAATCCGTCCCTGTTTTTGCTTTTGATGGTCTAGCTCCAGTACAGTAAGAAAGTTGGGTTCCTCACAACAAAATATTGTTTTATCTTTGCTTCTAAAGTTAAAAAGTGGCATACAGTCTGTCATTTGTTTTGCTCAGAACAGTTTTTTTGCTACTGCAGTTAATTCTTATGTAGAAGAATGCAGGAGGAATATTTGACAGTCAGAATTGAATTATTTGGAAAACAACAACAAAAAAGCCCATCTACTACAACAATTATAATGGAGATTGTGTGATTTTTAGCAAACAAACTGATCTGCACTATCTTAGTAGGCAAGTTCATGCTCAATGCATAGCAGACCCATGGCTTCCAGACCAGTTAAAAGAAAAATATGTGGACAATCTTGGACACTGTGCAAGAGAAAGATACATGAACAAAGTCACTGCTGACCCGTATGAGACAGAGAAGGAAAACATGTCAGACGATGCGGACAAGCTGCCTCGGATCTGATCTCTGACTTAACTTAAAACGATGTTTTTCCCCATGTTAATTTATCTGCCAATAGAACAAGTATGTTTTCATCAATATTAAGAAATTATTTACTGAAGACATTTCTCTATACCTTGCTGAAAAATTACTTTAAAGTTTATCTGCTTGCTTGTTTTTCTTTTCCAGCCTCCTCTTTCCTCAAGCAAGCTTTTGAAGGAGAGTACCCGAAACTTCTGCGACTGTACAATGAGTTGTGGCGCCGTCTGCAACAGTACAGCACAAACCTGCTAGGGGCTCTGACGAGCAGCGGAGGGTTGGACATGCCTCTGGACATCACTACTGCAGAAGTCGAGAGCCAGGACCTGTTCACACATGGAAAACATGACTACAAGTGAGTTCATTCAAATTAACCAACTAAACCAATTAAAGCCACTTTCATTTTGTCTGGAGTGAAGCTGGGTGGCAAAGCATTTTTCAGAGTATTAATTTCTCACCGTTTGGTGCTACCACTCTTCAATACCAAAAGGATCAGTTGTACAGCAACAGTAAAAACACAGCTGGCTACACTGTCCCTGCTTAATAGCAACGGCCTAGTCCGTCATTTACATAGATTGGTAGAGTTGTCTGTTCTATTAAAAAAATGCTTTTCAATAAAGAGAAGCAGACTGCTATATAACTTCCATGTACCTACAAAAATGTACATTCACTCTTCATAGACATTAATCTATTTCAGTTTGAGGTTTTAATGGTGCTATTGTTGTTTTATGTGTCATTGCATCCCTGAACAAATAAACTGGTATATGAAGCCTAAAAAGAAGCTGTAGTGGCTGTGGGTGATATGCTACTGGGGAAAGATCCTATTTTTGTCTTTGTCTTGATGAACTTTTTTATTATCTTAGCATATGTTTTAAGAACATCTGTTCATTTCCTATAGCGTTTGTGCAGTGAGGTGAGCAAACAACGTAATTCATGCATTACGCTGAACTCGGGGACTAGTGACATGACACAAAAAAGTTTGAAATTGTTCAACTTTTCCAGGGAGTGGAAAAATTGGAAAATCCATCCATCCGCCCACCTGCCGGCTCCCTGTGTGTTGAGCCGTTACTAAAGGAATGAGAGGGGAGGCGTAGTTTGATGCACCACAGTGAAACTTTGTCATTCTCTTGGTTGAAAGAGAGAGAGATACGTGACAAAAACAAACAAGGGATTATTATCACCTCCTTTTATTGAGCCCATTTTAATTTATTGTGTGAATAAGTGAATTATTGTTTATCATGACAGGACCTCTAACACACCCCCATGACATCACAGACGCTGGCCTTTGAATTTGCTGCGGATATCAGTCTGAACAGTCCTTTCTTCTTTGTCCCAAAGGACACGGAATCCATGATTTCCAAAAATGTGGACACTATTCCACTTTGCATCAGTCCATCTCAGATGAGCTTAAACCCAGAGACGCCTTTGGTGTTTCTGGGTGTTATTGTTAAAGGGTTTTCACTTTGTATGGTAGAGTTTGAACTTGCACTTGTAGATGTAGCATCGAACATACATTACCACATATCTGTTGCATTATGTAACAGATATGTGGTAATATCTGTTACAGAATGATGTTAGTTTTTGCTGCGTTGCCGCCTGAGAGACTGAATGTCTGTGACATTATTTGATCCGGTGTCTGTGTGTGTTTATGCAGTCCAGAAAAAGCCCTGAAGGACTCTCTGCAGCCGTATGAGGCAGCATACCTCTCCAAGTCCCTGTCCCGTCTGTTTGATCCCATCAACCTGGTGTTCCCCATAGGGGGGCGCAACCCACCCTCCAATGATGAGCTGGAAAGCATCATAAAAACCATCAGCAGGTGAGTTCACTACATGCCAGCTGACTGTCTTACAGCACACATGTACTTGAAGTTTCAATGTGTCAGAGGTGTGAAAAAATCAAACTTTATTTTTTATTTTAAATATAATAGAAAGAAGGACATTCTGAATTAACTGATAGCTTAAAATTTCTCACACAGATTAAAGCGTTTTTTTCTAAAATGCAAAAATAAATGTAAGATAAATTTACTGATCTTTGTATTCCACTAGGTGTTCCATGTAACTTTTCAGTGCCTTCAGATGGCTTTTGTTGTAAATCGACATGATATGAAAAAAGTGAATTTGTTTTTGTTACAAAAACACAAATATCCAAAAGAATCAGAATCTCAGAGAGAGGAAGACCCCTGTTAGAAGGTGATTCTGTTTCATAAAGGTGACTTTTCTCCCAGCAGGTCCAGTAAAAGTCTTGATTGAATAAATATGTTGTAACCTTTGTCACCACTATTAAAGTCAGTATGTGGCAGAGCTAAAAAAAAAAAAAAAAAGTGCTTTTAATTTTCCTAACTTTCCTGAGCTTTTGGCACTGTTAACATTTACTGTTTCTTCTCTATCATCTTTGGGCTCATTCTTAGTTGAAAATTCAGGCATACAC